AAAGTACCAATGTGAGAAGTACTCAGTTCCGATTACGCATTATTTTGTGTGAGGGAAATGAGAGATCATGGGATATGTCATGTGACATTAATGGACGAATCACTGTTCTTTAATCAGAAAAGGGGGTAAATTTGTAAAAATATCTGCTGTACAGCATTAGTTTCATTCTATGTTCTGTGAAACAGTGTTGTTTAATATTTGGATCCCATGGCCCTATATAAAGTGAATCCGAAATTTTTAATGCGTTTATGTGTAATTGAATAGAATTGCTTAATTGCGGATAAGTATGAATGTATAACATGTGGGTATGAAATGAGATTGTGTGAAAGGAAGGATATTACAGATAAGTTTGAATGGTGGTGCAAGAAATCTGGTGAAAATGGACATTTTGTGATCCGCCATGCACTCAAGATTCTGTAGAAGATTAGGTAAGTTAGTATTTTTAATTATTTGAGGATATTATTTCTAAGCATTGTTCTAAATGTAAGGAGTAAATAAATTAATATGGTATTATTGGAAAATTGTTATTAGCAATGATTTAGTTTAAAGTAATTAGGATTGTAAGCTAATTTTTATTAATTTAATGTATGTGCTTATTTATATTTTAAGTAGTGTTGTTTTAATTTAATTATATTTTAATTTAATGATTGTGATTTTGAGAGTTATATGTTCGTAGTATTTTAGAATACATTTGAGTAGAAGTAAATGTGCATGGAAAGAATTTAAGTATTTGACACTAAGTATTTGGAACCATTTTTAATGTTCAAGTTAGAAAATTGGCAGGTGAGGTTTATAATAGATAATTTAGAGGGAAAAGTTTTTGGATATTTTATTTATTTTATACGTGCAAATGTTCATCCTTGGAAAGGGTATATACTTTTTCGCGATCAAGTAATTTCATATATGTCCTTTTACCGAATTTAAAGATTCACAAAATTTTCATGCATTTTCGTGAAATTTTTCTAATTTATGAGAAAAAAGCAGTGTACATGGATATAGTGAAGAGTGTGCACAATACCATTTTTGTGCAATTCTGGGATGTTTTTTTAAGTAAAAATAAGTCGACGTGTACATGGTTTAATTATATTTTAATTAAATGATAGTTATTTTGTGAATTATATGTTTGAGTGGAAGTAAACCTGCATGGAAATAATTTAAATATTTGACAAAGTATTTGTAACCATTTTTAATGTTTTGTTATGTATTCGTTGATGCCTTTTATAATAGATAATTTAGAGGTAAAAGTTTTTGGATATTTTATTTATATTATACGTGGAAATGTTCATCCTTGGATACGGTATATACTTTTTCGCGATCAGGTAATTTCATATATGTGCTTTTTTACCGAGTTAAAGATTCACTAAATTATCCTGCATTTTCGTGCAAATTTTTGTAATTTATGAGAAACTAGCAGTTTAGATGGATAAAGTCAAGAGTGTGCGCAATGCCATTTTTGTGGAATTCTGGGATTTTTTTTAAGTAAAAATAAGTCGACGTGTACATGGTTACTGTGTATGTGCTATTCTGAAAAACGTGCAAGGAGTTTGCGATTGTGCACTTTTTCCCAATTTTGCAGTTAATATTGTCATGATTAAGCAGTTTTGTTACATAAAATTTCTAGCATAAGTGTAATTCGGCTAGTAGATTGTTGGAAAATGTGTTCAGTAAATAAAAAGAAAATAAACATGTCTTTACTTCGTGAAGACAAAATGGCGGCCAAAAAAAATAGAGGGTTGCTGTAGCAGAGTTGGTCGCCAAATTTTCGCCCAAAAAATCGCCAAGTTACCATAATCCAAAGATCAACCGAATTTTTAAGCTGCTGTTTAGTGCCTTTATCAACCCCTTGCGGAGAAGGTGTAGTCATGGGACCAACCATCCCCCTCCTCGAAATGGAATGTTGCCACCGTCCCATACATTTTCAGCAATTAAGCTTATTTTACAAAAGAAAAATAATATAAAATCTGCATTTGTTAGAGTAGAGAGAAGGTTACCCCTTATATTATCATGAAGTTGTTTTATTTATATCCAAGTTGTTTCATCTATTGCTAAGTTTTGTTTCATTTATGGTAACCTGAGTAGTTGTATGTTATGGAAACCCTATGTTGACATAATCAGTTGCATGACTGTGGTAAATTCGTAAAGGCTTGTGTGTGTGTTGCTTAGGGAGTATATTGTTTGTTTTGTGGTTTAGACGGTAAAATGGCTGAATGTAGTACAGTCAAAAGTCGTTAATTCGGACACCCATAATCCGGAATGATCTATAATTCGGACCTCAAAGCTAAAAACTTTCTGTGCATGCGCCGAGTTGACACATGCGCATAGGCTTTTACGCGTGCGCGTGAGACCTCTTACGACTGCGCATTTGCGTGTGCGCAAGCGCAGAATACGTTTTCGCATGCGCGTTTTATGTATAACGAACGGTATCAGCTAAAATTATCTAATTATCTATTTCAGTTAATGTTGATGATTGCGTTGTTCTTTAATTTTCGAATTGGATCGGGCTTATTATTTTTTGATGACTGTAAGAGCAATACTATAAAAGTAAACCTGAACTTTCGATTATGTCAAATAGAATTTCCGAATCTGGAGCTCCCAAAGGATCGTACAAAACGAAAGTATGTTTCGATGTCCATCAAACAAAAAGTGGAAATGCTGCAAAAAATGGATAAAGACATGAAGAATGTGACAGAGAGGTTAGTGAAAACGAAAAAATTTCGATTGACAAGTTAGTCGGTATTCTCGGCACAGCAATTAACGGGACTTGAACAGCGGAACTTTGTAACTGAACAAAGAATTATGTCTGTTTATAGAATTAAAGAGAAAGTATTATCACATAAAACGAAGCAACTTAAACAACTTACATTGAAAGAAATGTTTAATAAAGTAAACAAATAAATATTAAGCTTTTTTTTTTTGTAAATTTTGATACCTTTTAGATCATAATTGTTCTTTATTTCATAAATTACGGTTTCATATTTTTAATTTTAGAATTTCTGCATGCCATCTTACGCGATTTAAACTGATGATCTATAATCCGGAAAAATCGATAATCCGGAATCGCCGAAGTCCCGACGAGCCCGGATTAACGAATTTTGACTGTATTGAAGTTTCCATACAATTTGGAAAAAAAGGGGAAAGAACATTACTTGACTGGTGTGTAAATGAAGGTTTACTTAGTAGCCATTATTAAGTGTCCCGTCTGCAGCAAGAAAATGCGTATGGTCGAACGTCGGACGATATGAAGGATATTTTTTACTCTTACTTTGTGAATTTAATTGGCGATGCCAACATACAGATTTTAGTTCAGATAGGAAGTTTTTGGATACTGTTAAGGAATTTTGTTTGACTGAAGACATTATAATTCATAAATAAGGTAAGTGGGTATTTCCTTTGTGTAGTGCAAAGAAGAATTTCTTTTATGTTATTTCATTGTTTGATTTAAAATGTAGTTTATTGAGATTATATATTTTTTTGTTGGCTGCTCCTTTCACTTTTTAAGTGAATATAGTTCAATGGATACATGGACAAAGTCAAGGGAGTGTGCAACGCCTAGTTAATGCAATTCTCTGATGTCTTTTTAAGCGATGATGTGTATTTTTTAATCTGATGTCTTTTTAAGCGATGTGTAAATGGTTAAAGTCAAGGGAGTGTACAATGGTTGGTAAAATCCTAGTATAAGGTGCAGCCTTGGCGCAATTTTGAAAATTATTGCCAACACCAAAGTAACCCATTTAACTACTCATCCTATATGTCCCGTTTACTGCTCATCATAAAGTCGCCAAAAGTAGCCAAATCCCTTGTGCACCGGATACTAGGATTAAACCCAATGGCAAGTTTGTGCAATTCTATGATTTTTTTTTTAATGAAAAATAGATCGTATAGATGTATACCGAGTTTGTGCAGCTCTTTGGTCTTTGGCGCGAAAACAAGCCACAAGCTGCTACACAAGCCAAAATAACAAGTCAAAGAATTGCACAAACTCGGTATCCATGTACCGTCAATTTTCGCCAAGGGGTTGAAAACATCAGTTTCGTTATGAAACTGTTGGTAAATATACTTTTACCAACAGTTTCAGTACTTGCAAATATTCTTGTTAAATAATTAATTGTTCTGGCCAACAAAATATGATGTCAAAGGGTTAGGTCTTTCTTCTTTTGAAAGAACTGTTCTCTGGAAGTACAGACAGGCTGAAGTTTAGAAGGACATGCTGACATTTATAAGAAATAAACATTTTCATTTTTCTGTTAGTGTACAAACCTACTACGTTTTTTATACATGCAAAATAATACTGTTCTTGAAATAGTTATAAAAAAAATAAAGTTATAAGCCAAAACAACACATAATACACATTAAAAAAAAATTTAATAACCCTGCAAACAACTCTGTATGGATTATATAAAAACGGAAAATTCAAACCTGATATTCATAATTAGAACAATTAATCTAATCATACGTACACTATAAATTTAAGTAAAAAACAATTATAAAAAAACAAATGTTTAAAATATACCAAAACTGTTTAACTGCTATTATTTTATCTTATTTACTATATCAAATTCTAAGATTTGTATTTTTAAATTTACTTACAGCTTCTGCAGTCAATTCAAACTATTCTTTGTAATCTATCTTACTTTCAATACATATTACAACAGTTCAAAAAATAAGAATCCTACATCTGTTGGTAACTTTTTAATCCGAATGTCAAATTTCCACACACAGATTACACGAACAACACGATTAAACACGCGGGAAAACATGAAACCTCAGAGTCTTCTTCAATATAATTGCGCCGAGAAATATGATTGCCTCCAAATACTGACGTCAAGCCACAAAATTAAAGCTTGCATTTGAAAAAAAGCGTTAAGTAGATGTCGTTAGATTTAATTTTTTTATGAATTAATTATAAAATTCTATGTGTCAGTAATGTTGTTAAACTTTTTAAATATTTTCAATGAAATTTAATAACTTTCATCACGTTGGAGAAAAACTGAACTGAAGCAATTAAAGCAGACGATTATTTATTTTTGTTTTCTTCTTGGTTGGGAGTAAAGTTGGGAATTTTCACGGAAATTTCGAATTCTCTGAAGAAATTCTCAGCTTTCGTAGCATTTTATTTAATAGTTACGCATCGTTTTGCAGTAAGTCAATTTAAATTTTCATGCATGTCTTCAATCGCATTTCAGTATTTCTCTTCGACTAATTTATTATAAAATAACAATATATATTGCATTTTATAGTATGCACATTGTACTTAGTTGAAAGTATAAATGTTCTTAAAATAAGTGTATTTTTAGGAATTTGTAAAAGCATTCTGTAGCTGAAATATAGAAATAAAATTTTAATATGAGACGTGAAAAGTTTTTCTATTATTATTTTAAAGATAAGAACTCACTGTCATATTTGAAACGCAAGCAGTATTTGAAGTAGTAGTTAGGTCTGTTATGCTTTTGATATAATTTATTAAAAACTCATTCTATTTAGTTTTTTTTTTTTTTTTTCCTCACTCTTGATAATGCATTCAAAGTTTTGATATTAAACTTGAATAACATCAAGTTTTTGCTGAAAAATTTGAATAAATGTTTTGGGTAAGTAACATTAATAACATTAGCGACGCCTATTGAAATTACAATAAGCTGAAACATTTTTTAATAATTAGAAAGAAAAAATAACTGCTGTAGATGGTAAATAAAACTATTAATTTTTATAATGTAGAAAGTAATTCATTCTTTGTCTCTTTTATTCTGTAAATCTTATATTTGATATTTTTTAAAGATTTTTTCCCCTTCCACCAAATTGCAAATGGTATAAATTTTTTTATGAATTATAAAATCATCATTTTTCACTCTCCATGCATTCTTATGGAATAAATAATTATTTCTAGTACTTTTAGTGCCCAGATATCTTTCTTTTCGTGGTTTTAGTCACATTTTTCGGGTAGAGTAGACTTTAAGGTACTTTGGTTAATCTTTGGATTATGGTAACTTTGCGATTTTTTGGCGAAAATTTGGCGACCAACCCTGCTACAGCAACCTGCTAGTTTTGTCTTGGACACCATTTTGTTTTCACAAAGTAAAGGCATGTTTTTTTTTTTTTTTTTTTTTTTTTTTTTATACTCAACATTTTTTCCAACAATCTGCTAGCTGAATTACGCTTATACTAGAACTTTTATGGAACAAAAATGCTTAATCATGACGAAGATTAGGTGCGAAATTGGGAGAAAGTGCAGAATCGCCCACTGCTTGCCGCATTTTTAAGAATTGCACATACACGGTATCATCCATGTACACGTCTACCTATTTTCACTTAAAAAAACATCCCAGAATTGCACAAAAATGGCAGTGTGCACACTCAACTTTATCCATGTACACTGCTAAAGTCCTAGCTAGTAATCTTATCGCCTTACCAAAATGTCGCCAAACTACCTGTTACCAGATTCCAAAGATTAGCCGACTTTTTTCAAACCAGGTACTCTTTCTGATCGAATGCTTCACATAGTGACCACCTGAACCTTTCTTCCTACAAACCCATTCCAAGTTCTAGCATAAGCGTAATTCGGCTAGCAGATTGTTGGGGAAAAAAATGTTAAGTAGAAAAAAAAAATGTCTTTACTTCGTGAAAACAAAATGGTGTCCAAAAAAAAAAAAAAAAACTATGAGGTTGCTGTAGCAGGGTTAGTCCCCAAATTTTCGCGAAAAAATCACCAAGTTACCATAATTCGCAGATTAACCAAAAAGTCATTTGAGTATGATTGATATTTTGATTTTTATGTGGCTCTGAGTGTACAAAGAGAACTCGAAAATCATGGTAAGTGAATATTTGCTTTTGGTAGTGTTTAAACGTATAACATGTTTTTCCTTTTTTTATGTTATTTTATTGTTTGGTTTAAAATGTATTTTATTGAGATTATGTATCTTTTGTTTGCCTATATTGTAGAATTTGGTGCTCCTTTGACTTTTTAAGTGAAAATATCGATGTATATATGGACAAAGTAAAGGGAGTGCACAATGCAAGTTTGTGCAATTCTGGGATTTTTTTTAAGTGAAAATAGGTCGACGTGTACATGGATAAAGTCAAAGAAGTGCGCAATGCCATTTTTGTGCAATTCGTTTTTTTTTTTTTTAAGTGAAAATAAGTTGATGTGTACATGGATACCGAGTTTGTGCAATTGTTTGTCTTGTTATTTTGGCTTTGTGTAGCGGCGATTTTTGGTGCAAATATCGCCGCTTCGCAAGCCAAAATAACGAGTCAAAGAATTGCACAAAATCAGTATCCATGTACCGCCAAGTTTTGCCAAAGGGTACCCTAAACTATACTTTTGCCCATTTTTCTGTACTTACGTATTGTTGCAATCATCTTAGTAGAAGTCGCAAAATTTTCAAAATGGTCCAAAATCTGACATTCATATGTGTAAAAATGGTTGATCTTTACAATATGGTAACTGGTAGTTTGGCGACATTTTGGAGGCGATAAAGGTTACTACCTGGGACTTTGGTAATAATGTGAGCAGTACTCAGTTCCAATTACGCATTATTTTGTGTGAGGGAAATGAGAGATCATGGGATATCTCATGTGATATTAATGGACGAATTACAGTTCTTTAATCGGAAAAGGGGGGAAATCGGGAAAAAATCTGGAAATTTGTATTTGGCTTTATTCTGTGTGTGTGAAACAGTGTTCGTGAATTTTTCGATCCCATGGCCGTAAACTAAAGTGAATTCAAAATGGGTATTTATGTATGTATTAATTTAATGTATGTGCTCATTTATATTTTAAGTAGTGTTTTTGAATTTAATTATATTTTAATTAAATGATAGTTATTTTGTGAATTTTATGTTTGTAGGAATTTGTATAGGTTTTAGTTGAAGTAAACATGCATGGAAATAACTTAATATCTGACACTAAGTATTTGTAATGGTGTCGGTATGAATTCGTTGGTGATGTGTATAATATAATAGATGATTTAAGGTAAAGTTTTTTAATATTTTATTTATTTTATATGTGGAAATGTTCATTATTTGGAAAGGGTAAATACTTTTTCGCGATCAGGTAATTTCATATATGTTCTTTTTCCGGGTTTAAAGATTGAGAAAATTGTCATGTATTTTTTCGTGAAATTTTTTCGAATTTATGAGAAAAAGCAGTGTACATGGATATAGTGAAGAGTGTGCGCAATGCCATTTTTGTGCAATTCTGGGATGTTTTTTTAAGTAAAAATAAGTCGGCGTGTACATGGTTTATGTGTATGTGTTATTTTTGAAAAAAACGCGTAAGGAGTATGGTATTGTGCACTTTTTCCCAATTTTGCAGTGAATATTTGTCATGATTAAGCAGTTTTGTTAGATAAAATTTATAGCATGAGTGTAATTCGGCTAGTAGATTGTTGGAAGAAGTGTTCAGTAGATAAAAAGAAAAGAAACATGTCTTTACTTCGTGAAGACAAAATGGTGGCAGGAAAAAAAAATAGAGGTTTGCTGTAGGAGAGTTGGTCGCCAAAAAAACGCCAACTTACCATAATGTAAAGATCAACCATAAAAATCAATCTCAATCAAGCAATGTCATCATTTTCATATGTATTCCAAATTCCAATGCTTTTTATGAAAAAATAGGGTCCACTAAATAGGGCCACAAGTCACTGAACACTGGTAGTTGAACTGGTAGTTGGGTCCGAGGTTTGAATCCTGCAAACGGGCTGGCTGCATGGGCATTTTCATGGTTTTCCCTATGTGTAACCTGTATACGAGACAGTTTCCCTTAGAAAGCCCTCCACGTAGGTAGCCCTCCCCTTAGGCAGATAGCCCTAGTGTGCTTTGCCATAATTAAATAAACCAAATTATGAAAAAATAATAATGTTTTTTGCCCTAAACTAAATTTTAAATATACACTTGTGGAATTCTATAGCAATGAGAAAAATTGTGATAAACTTTCTGCAGAAGCACATTATTTTGTCTTAGAATTGCCAATGAGAACAATAATTTTGAATCTGTTGTAAAAGCAATTGCCATTAAAGATGTGTATATATACAGTTAAAAGTCATTAATCCGGACTCGTCGGGGACTTCGGCGATTCCGGATTATCATTTTTCCCGGATATAGATCATCAGTTTCAATCTAGTAAGATGGCATGCAGAACTTAAAAATTAAAATATGAAACCGTAATTTATGAAATAAAGAACAATTTGATCTAAAGGGTATCAAAATTTACAAAAAGAAAAAAGCTTAATATTTATTTGTTTACTTTATTAAACATTTCTGTGAATGTAAGTTGTTTGTTTAAGTCCTATAATTGCTGTGTCGAGAATACCGACTAATTTGTCAATCGAAATTTTTTCCTTTTCAATAACCTCTGTGTCACTTTCTTCACTATCGGAAGCGAATTATAATGATGAGGAATTTGATTTAAATCATATCAAAGATGGACTACATCGAGATGAAATACTACATTTAGTAAGACTTCGAAACATACTTTCGCTTTGTAGATCCTTTACATATTAGTAAATATATATCGGAAATTCTATTTGACATAATCGAATGTTCAAGCTTACTTTTATAAAATTGCTCTAACAGTCTGCAAAAAATAAGCCGGATTCAATTCGAAGATTAAGGAACAACGCAATCTCTAACATTAACTGAATTAGATAATTTTAGCTTAGCTTATACCGTCCGTTACAGATTAAACGTGCATGCGTAAACGTATTATGTGCATGCACACATGCATATTCGCAGCCATAAAGGTCTTATGCGCATGCGTCAACGTGACACATGCGCAGAAAGTTTGTAGCTTTGAGGTCCGGATTATAGATAACGCATGCGTGTTTAATGTATAACGAACGGTATAAGCTAAGCTAAAATTATCTAATTATCTATTTCAGTTAATGTTGCATATTGTGTTGTTCCTTAATCTTCGAATTGGATCCGGCTGATTATTTTTTGCAGACTGTTAGAGCAATTTTATTAAAGTAAGCTTGAACTTTCGATTATGTCAAATAGAATTTCCGATGCTGGAGCTGCCAAAGGATCTACAAAGCGAAGTATGTTTCGATGTCCATCAAACAAAAAGGTGAAATTGCTGCAAAAAAATGGATAAAGGCATATCCTTTGTTTCTCTAACCATTCCGAAATCTGTTTATCAATTTCACGCT